TGTTCCAGTTGCTTTTTGCAGAGATTTCCTTTGAGTTTTACATTGATTGTTTTAGTTTACATTGCTTGCGCCGATTATGGTATTTCCTAGGTTTCGTCCCGGTACCGGGCTTGGCTCCTATTCCAGAGGCCATTCATTCAGAAATGCATTCCTCGGTGCAGCTGCGGGAGCATTCGGAGGTTAGTTCAAAAGACGCTCTGTCTCTACTGAATCTGAAATTGCAGACATAGCCAGGGTGAAGCGTCCGTTGGACAAGTCCAACGAGGGGTGGGGTGGTCGTATTTGGGGGTGGAAAAGGGGGGGTCGTATTTCGCGAGGTAGCGTTAATGTTACAGTTGAGGAAAAGGGTGGTGGAGGATGGTCGTGAAGGGTTAACCCTGAGGGGGGGGTCGTATCGAGGCCCTCTAGAAGGGGGAGGGGGGTCGTAAAATTTTCGAAATTGGTCCAACGTGACGGTTGACCCTGGACATAGCTATCTACTGCGCATTTCGGCTCACTCATTTTGGGCCGAATCCTTCTCGCTCGCGGAAAATTCTAGTGTAATTTGGGCACCAAGCTCCTCCCTCCCCCCCCCCCTCCCCCGGCCCGTTTCGTTGAAAGGGGCACAAGGAGACGAGAGAAGGCTTCACCAAAATTAGGAGCAGAAATAGGCAAAGCCTTCTGACCACAAATACGCCTTCAAAGGCCCAGTTGAACTGAAGCTCAAAAGGCAATCCAATGGAAATCGAGGTAGAGGAGGCCAAAGATGAAGGGATGAAGAAGAAATCAAGAAAAGCTGCCTGAAATGGTCCCCCTCTTAACGCTTGGGTTGTAAATTCGGCTAGCTTTATTGGTGCTGACCACCTCGAAGCTGACACCTCTGCTAGAGCGGTTAGGGCCAGACGGTGAGGGTTCAGCCACCGTTGGGCTTGGAGCGGCGCACATACGGCCCTGCTAGGCCATTGGGGGATATAGGAGAGGGAGCAGCCTGCCTTTCGACTAGGTATGTTTCTTCTTCGACTTCCGACCTTATCGTGGAATCCTCTTTTGAATCCCCGCTCGGATTCAATATGTCCTAAGAAAATTCTAGGTTTTTTTTAAGGTATGCTAGCTTTTGAAGCAGGCAGAGCCATCATTCAGTCGATGACCACACCATTCTCGTATGGCGGCCGTGACTATTATTTCGATAATCATCCACGAATGAGACAAAATCAGGTCCAGTGTTCAATGCCGCTCGAAGAGTTGAAGATGGTATCTTTACAGTGTGTAATTTACTCCAATTTCGAACCCTTAGAAAGATGTATTATGTGATCAAAAAAATCTCTTCCCTTCCTACTGTAACAGTCTTGTCTTTCAAGTTTTCTGGTGGAGCGGTGAGAGCGAGACGAGCACCATCGAACGCTACTCTGCCATCTGCACCGTCGAACACTACTCTGCCCTCTGCACCATCGGACACTACCCTGCCCTCCAGTTCTCAAGGCAGCCTCGCCGAACGCTACGACACCAGCGGCACCAGATACGATCCTGGATGTTGTGAGTAGCATTTATTGCTCTGGACGCTCAGTTAGCTCAACATCAGTCCTTTCCCGGAGGTAATAGGGCGGGCATGATCGCAGACTAAACAAACTGGGTTGTCCACGAAGTACTGCGATACTTGAAACAAATTCTCTAGGAAAAAATCAAATTATTTTCCACCATTTTTTGGATTTCTGTAATGTATCCTAGGAGTTTCAAGTAGAAGGGAACATAAAGTTCTTGCGCAACGTTTTGCAGCTTCAAAGTCCTCTCCCAATCATTCCATCCTTTGACCTATCGCTGATTACGAGTTCCTACAAAGCTACCCCGTTTGAGTAGGTGAAGCTGGTGTACGTGTGTATTCAGGAGGGTGGTCCTTAACCAGGCCATGGTGCCCCATTGGCGCTGAGGGTACGCTGGATATTTCGTTTGAAGAGAACCAAAGCTCTAGTCGGTTGTACGGAACCCAGATGGCGTGCGTATATCCAAATGTATACGCCAAAGCAAATCCAAACCCATGTGGGTAGAACTACAAGTTTATGCGCAAAGCGCAGCCTACTTCTCAAGCAGACCAATGCAGCTTGGCGCGGTGTATAAATATAGCCGCGTCAGACTTGCGAAAATCACGAATTCGCTAGCCGCGTGTAATTCCAGCGGCAGCAAATATGTCTAGTGGATTGAACGATGTGCTAGCGGATCGAACGATGTACCAGCGACTCGACTGACTTCGAAAGTGGCGTGACTCCCTTTCATTTCCACGTTGGATTGTCGCTACTTTCCCAAATCTCATGCCCACTTCTCTCATGCCGTCATGAGCTCGGGAAAGTGGTGAGAGCCAAGGGGCAAAGAAAGTCCTACCAGTTCCAAACAGTGTCAAGTTGTTGTACATCGTCGACCTTGGTACAACAGCTCAGTTTCGTCTGGCGCAAACGCCCGTAACATCGCACCCAACGGCCGTAACAACGGGAGTCCTTTCAGGGGGTGCCAAATCTTTTCCAGAAGGTTCCTTCGCGATGCATGTGGCCGCATGTGAGACTTCAGAAAAAGAAAAAAAAAAAAAATAAGAACCATTGTTTTATTTTTCTTCCAACGCCGCCTGAACACAGGAAAGAGGGTCCCTAGGTTCGATTTCCCGTGGTAGACGTCACCCGAATCCACAAAACAGCTCAAAATCAGCCACGTGGTGTATACATTTTCACCAGCTTTTTAATCACTTTTTTTGTGAGGGTCACTAAAGGTTCTAATTATGAATATGGAAGTCACTGTTCATGCTAACTCCATTTTGCGCGAATTTTGAAACGTCAACTCGAAATGCAAAAATTTGGCAGCACGAGGAATCGAGATGGGACCTCCTTCTACTGGTAGCTGAGCCTCTCGAAAAACGACTCAGTTCTGCGTCCCACATGTGCGCTCAAGTCATGGCAAGAAACCATTTAAAAAGCATGCACATCCTGAAGACCTCCTTTGTAGACAGCCTGCTACGCTCCATTGCTTGGGGTAGTGATCAGCATGGACCGATTCCAAATCAGCCATTCTAACTTACCCTCTTCCACAAAAAACGCTCTCGCCTCCAGCCGAGTTCCTGAGGGGGGTGGGAGGGGGGCGTCCAATTCCGAAAAATCAGTTGTAATGACCATTCGTTCGGCACCGCGGTGCACCAATTGATACGCAGTACGCCAGGATGTAGAGATTTCAAGCTTTACATTGGACGTAGTCGCCTGTGGGGGCTGATCGGTCACAACGATACTTTACATACTAGTGTCCGCAAGCACATCCATTTTCGGGAGGGAATTTCAGTCCATTTTGTGCTCATACCGACTGAGTTCATCATATAGCTGCGAGTAAACTGTTTCGCGGTTCCTTTCCAGCTACAATACCAGAATGGGACACGTCCACAAGTAATCACTTGGGCGTGTCGGAGAGATGTCGAAGTATGCTGTGTACAGAATGCTGTCCTGCGAAGGATGATGAAGGCCTATCAACCGTTGGTATTGTGATAGGGTGAGTTATGTGGGACAAACTCCAAGTTAACGAAGCTATCGTTTCATTAAGATTGGCTCCGCTATTGCTTACATTGTGTTGTGTGACTTGGAGCGTACGCTTTGCAATATTGGAGGTTAAGGTAAGAGCCACTTTGTGTTGCGGACTGGCTTCTTCTATTGTGTTCAAACAAGGTGGCTTTGGTCTATACGAACTGTTAGGATACCTCAAATAATAAAAAGGATAAAGCATTTGCCGTTGATCAATCCCGTTTTGGGATGCGGCACGCATTCTACTTCCATTTGTACATTCGTAGTGGCGTTTGAATGCGATGTGGCCTATACAATGACTTGCGGGGGCCAGCCGATGTACAAGTCAGTGTTTTATCCTCCCAGACAAGTCTGGTACCAATTAACCGACCCCGGAGGAATGGAAGGCTTGAGTCACGACCCAGGACTTGATCCCCGAACCTCGCGTGTAAGCGTCCCCTTGTGCACTACACCACTGCGCCTAGTACAGTTATGCATGGAAAATAACCCCACATTACTTCGCGATTCAATTGGAACATGCTTTTTTTGGGGCTTCTGTGATAACAGTACTTGAAAGAATAAGAGGGAACAGCAGACTGGCTACTCGCAGCTCCAGCACACACCGCTGCATTCACTGGTCAGATAAGATAACGCAGATGAAGCGCAGGGGGCTAAATCTATTTTGAGGGATCAAATCGAATGGCCTGGCGCATCGACTCGACCAGTGCATTTTTCACATATCGAAACCTATCCTAGCCCTTTTTTCTTCTTCATTTTGATAAAGGCAAATTACATGGGGCTCCGGAAAAATGTGCGTTGGTGTGAGCAAGAGCTGTTTGTCGTACACATAGTTTGAGGATCGAATCCAGCTCTGTCCAGATCAATCCAATCTTTCCACCCTTGAAAGTCGATTAGTCGATTCAAGAATTGCTCAAAAGGGAAAAACTCTAACTTCAATAATCGGCCCTGGCACAACATTGTTTCTATCGTATACTCACTGGTTTTCACGATTCCTAAAAAAAGAAAATGCGTGGCGTGACCTCATCAAGCCCAACACCTTGTACTCCCTTCTTGTTCGACTGAAGCTCGCCTTCCCCCCTCGGATAAAATTGTCATTAAATATTTCAGTATCCAAAACTCATCATATTTCAGGCCAACGGCGTCCGCATGCCACCAGGTACAGTTATCCGCAAGATGAGCCGGCACCCTATTACCCTTCCCCATACGACTATCCAGGATATCCACCCCAAGACTATGGACCTGGTCCCTACCCACCTTATGGCTATCCTCCGCAATACTATCCACCTGAAGGTTATCCACCTCAATACTATCCACCTGAAGGTTACCCACCTGAAGGCTATCCACCTCAAGGTTATCCACCTGAGGGCTATCCACCATATGGTTACCCACCGGGAGCCTACCCGCGTGAAGATCCTCCTCAAGGTGCTCGTCCTAAGCGACGGCAGTCTCGGAGCCGAGAATCTGCGGAACAGCCAAAAGGACAGAATATCCCTAGAGAAGTAATCAAATCAAAGGAAAACGAGCAGAAGCCGAACGTAGACGGGCCAAAATCAAAGGAAAAGTAGAATCGAAAAGATTTCACCATAATCAATTTACAAACAGTTGGCTTCAAAATGCATTGCTAATCATAACCGTTACCGTATTCAACGAAAAAGCAAATGACTTATCCTTTCTGTACTAACCCATTCCACTGTTTATTGTAATAGTTAATGTGAAAGACTTATTGGATGAAATAAAAGCTTCAATTCACTGTTTGACAAATACGAAAGAAATATGAGTTTAGCCAGTGCTCAAAATTACAAAATCCTTACATAATTCTTGCCAAAATTTCCTAGAGACCATCAGAAAGGAGGGCCCTCCGAGTAACGGGGGGACGGGGAGAGGCATATTCGGGTGAAGACCTCCCGATGTATTTGAGGCGAACACTAAGATTTTTCCGTTACAAAGACCAAATTAAAACTTGTATAGCCAGTTTTTGAGCGAGCGAAGTGGTCCACTCACCCTGAAGCTAAATTGAAATTTGTGATTACTATCTCATATGCCTTCCTCCTTTCTCAAACGAAGCGACTCTAGGCGTGCTCATAATAAACAAGCCACAGGTTATACCGGAATACCTGGAAGAATCACATCAGGGCAATTTTCCTCCGAGGAATGCTTCAAAATAGGGGTGAGATCGCACTTCATTCACGGAGGAGTTCGTAAACGGAGGGTTCAATTGGCGCTCGGACCCAGTTCATCTCTGTAGCCTCCCTCTGGATTCCGACAGGAACTTAAAGCACAGAACCTTGAAATCGTGAAGCAGGGCAAGCAGGAGATAAACATAGCGGCTTACCGAGTCACTGGCTGTAATCAGGGTCAACCGTCCGTTGGTAAATTTACCATCAATAGGGTCGTGCTTGGGCCTCTG